GGAAGCCACAGACAAATAACTGTGGGGCATCTGGAGAATATCGGGCAGGGAACCCAGGTGTGTTTAGAATGCCTTCCCTTCCCTTCCCCATCTGGGGCCCACTGGAATCATATGGCATGAGGAGGTACTTGCCTTAGGGCACTGCCTGTCTATGTGTCCTAACGCGTTGCAGGCATAACAGCGGGGTGCCTTCCAATCTCCAGTCGGCAACTGCACACCAGCACTTGGCAAATCAGGATGCTGTTCCTGGTATGGCTGTCCTTTTAATTCCGGCTGCTTTCTGGGCTGGGCTGGGGACTTAGGAAACTCCCTCTTATGCCAGTCCCAATTAGTGTGGTACCTCTGCCCTCCATAGGCTTCAGCCAGTCACTCCGCCCACTGTCCTGCTTCTTGAAGGGTGGAAGGGCTCTTGTCCACCAGGGAGCACCTAATGTACTCAGGAAGAAGAGTCAGGAACTGGTCAGTGCACATCAGGGCCTTGACATCAGCCAGGGTCTTGGCCTCAGCGACCTCCACCCACAAGTCATAGGCTCTTCCCTGTCTGTGTATTAACTGTGAGTGGGATTCTTTCCCTTTAAGTCCAATCTCTCTGAAGTGCTTCCGGGCCCCTTCCTTGGTGAACCCCACCCTCTCTCGCACTCTCTGCTTGAACAGCTTGCAGTCTGTTCTCTCTTTGCCTTCCATCTGCCCAGACACTGAAGCTAGGACCCCACTCAACTGCGGTCCCAGCTTTTCCATGTACAGCTCTGAGGGGACCTTGTAGTCGATACAGATTTGTTCAAAATTCTGCAGGAAGGCCTCACTGTCCTCCCCTTCCTTGAACCAGGGGTACTTCTTATGGTCCTCTTTCCCCGTGGCATCTGTAGGAGGTTGGCCCTTTTCTAGCTAAGCCATCTCAAGCTCATGCGCCAGCCTCATTTTCTCCCTTTCTGGCTCTATTTTCTCTCACTCTAGTTCCAACCTAGCTGCAGTCTCTTTCTCCTCTTTCTCCAGCCCTGCTGCCATCTCCTCTCTCTCTCTCTCTCTCTGCAGCCTTGTTCTCTCTAACTCAAGGGCTGCCTGCTTAAGTTGCAGCTGGAGACGAAACGTCTCCTCACTCAGGGATGCCATCACTTCCTCTGTTTTGTCCTCCAATGACATGAGACTAGCAGCCCTCGTTCGGGTCTTGCGTCTAGCAACAGGCGTGTCCTCTGGTTTTTCCTTCCCAGATCGGAGGAACATGCACTACCTAGCTCTAGCCTCACTCTCCAGTTGGCCCGACAGCTAGGACATAAACAGAACCTCTTTCACCACACCTTACCAGGCCCTTACTTGGTCTTGCAGGCACCTTCAGAAAGTGGGGCTTCCTTAAGCCCAAAAGCAAAAAAACCTGGCTGGTGTTGAGAACTGATTTAACCAGGATCCTGATAGTATCCTCCATGTGGCTTACAGGAGGTCTTTGGGCTTGTGGGTGGCAGCCAGGGTGGTGACTGGAAATCGGGAATGACTAGGTGTCCCCATGGGAAATTAATTCAGATGGGATGGGGCCAGGCCTCGCAGGTGGGTGGCTCCCGAGGGCAGCAAAGCTATGGCTCCTTCTGGGAGGTGGTCTCGGATATGCCCATACATGGTGCTGTGCTGCTGTCTGCCCCAGGCAGTCTGGGGGTGTGAGTTCGGCCTGCCTTGCTTCTTGTCCATTCCGTGACGGTCTGGGTGGGGCGGTGGGTTCAGCCAGCTTCTGCTGCCTCAGGGGTCATCACGGTGGCCGCCTGTGGGTGCAACAAAGGGGCCTTCTCTTGAGGGGGGGGGGGACAGTTCTGCAAAGTCCTGTTCTGTGGCTGCTCCCTCCCCAGTACCATGTCAGTGAGTAAGGTCCTCAGATGAGGCATTCCTTAACCGAGTGTGTGCAGGAACCGCCACTGTGGTGTGAGATGCGAAGTCCCACGGCCACAGGACTAATCAGAGTCGTCCTGTGCCACATGATTTAGTATCTGGTCCGTCTGCACATGCACCAGGCTTTATACTGCCCGCCAGGTGCTTCCATTGGCTGGGGGAGGTACTGGTGCTCAGACAGAGACCAACAGACACTTGCCCACATCCTGTGCTTTTCAGGGTGGGGTGTCCGTGCTACCTCACCTGTGTGTGAGGTGGTTTCCGGAGGCCACCACGGGTACCTACGGGCCATGCCGTGATTTTTGATGGCACAAGTTTCTGCTGTTTTGGAAGAGGGGATTCCCACACTGGGGTGGCTTAGGGAGCAAAATGACTTCCACCGTGCCCCCCCCCCCGGCCTGCCCACTGGCATCAGAGGTTGCGCTTCTGGGCTGAGGGCAGGTCGCCAGGGTGGGGCCAGGATTGGCCTGGTGGCACCGAGACACTGAATTGGCACCAGCCTACCTTGGTGGTGTGTGGGTGGGGCAGCTAGGGAGCTCCCTTCCTGCTTCCATTGCCCCCCCCCTCCCCAGGACTGTGCTGAAAATGCATCATTTATAATTTAGCATGTAAAATTGCGCAATTTGGCATTAAAATGAAATTTAAAAGTATAAATACCTTAAAATTTAATACTTACACACTAATTTCAGGGAGTAATTTCTAGGGAGTAAATCTGCTTATGACTGCGCTGTTAATTTTCAACAACCAAAGCTGCAAATACGGGGCGGGGAGGGGGGTGCACCTGAAGCGTGTCATCCTGATGCTACCTTAACACACCTGCCTCTTGGTTTTTGCCATCTGAGAGGTAGGAAAAAATAAAAGTTGAAGGTAAAAAACAAATTTTGTAGTAAACAAAACAGTGTATTATTTAGATAGAACCTCTCTCATACAGTCACAAAATAACTAGCTACATATTTGGATATTGAGATGATAATATGAAATATATTCAACTCTTCAACAGTGTAGTATCTTAATAGATATTACAGCATTCTAATTGTTTAATCTACTTATTTAGCGATAACGTTACACTTTAGTAAAAACGCATTTTAAAAGGACTTTAATATGAAGAGAAGAAGAGGGAGAGAAGAGATTGGATTCCCAAAGGAGTCTCAGAGCAACTTACAATCTCCTTTCCCTTCCCCTCCCCACAACAGATATCCTGCAAGGTAGGTGGGGCTGAGAGAGCTCTTTTGAGAACTGCCCATGTCAGAGAACTTGTAACTGACCCAAGGTTACACCAGCAGCTGCATGTGGAGGAGTGGGAAACCAAACCCGGTTCTCCCAGGATTAGACTCCACTACACCAAACTATGTGAAGCTATTAGGGGTAGCTTGGTTTGTGGTGGTGGTGAAATGGTCATAGCACTGCCCTGGATGATTCCTGGATCCAGCAGCAGGGTGCCAAAGATGTTCTTGGCAGCAGATAGGATGCCACACATGCACACACCACAATGGTGCTCTGCCCCGCTCCTGACCTAGTGGTCCAGCTCGAAGGCTGTCCTCCCGGGGTCCGTGGCTTCCCAGAGTCACCCATGGTATGCCAGCATGCCACTGGCCCTGGTGGGGAGGAGGCCAGACCTGGAGACCACATGGTGGATATTCAGTGGAACACCTCTGTTTTACTGTGCACAAAACCATGAATGCAGCAGTTCAACCCCTTATTGGAACTGAACAGGGGGTGGCTGGGGGGGGGTGGCGGCCTGAGGGGAGCCCCTTGTGTCCGGGGGCAGCTCCTTGGGGTGGCAGCCAGCGCAGCATCTGGGGGGGGGCGGGGACTCGTAGCAGTGTTTGTCCCCAGGGTGGGGGGGTCTGTCACCTACACAACACTTTCCCCCCCTCTCACCCTCCAGAAGCTTGGGGGAGTGGCTGGCGGCGGTCATCAGGACCATGAAAGATGGTCAGGCAGGCATCAAAGGGTTGCTCATGGACATGTTCATGGCTCTCTGTGGCCTCGCACCCGAGTCGACTTCTGTAGCCACCCCCCTGCCCTGCCCTGCCCACAGCGGCTGGGGTCCCCTGGGTGGCCGGCAGGATGGCCCCACATAGATGGCAGCATGGCCACTGCTGGGTGCCTGGTGCCTGTGGCAGTCCCTGTGCTCTTGGGACACAGTGCACAGTCGTTCCAACTCACCTGCCATCAGGGTGAATGTGTGTGGATTTGGGTGGCAGTGCGCAGGGTGTTGGGCCCCCCTTCCTCTGTGTTGCTGTGTCTGTTGCGCCTGGCAGGCTCTGTGCCTTCTGCTTTCGTGTTCGCTGGCTTGGTGGCCCTGTTTGGGTGGAAAGGCAGCATAGACATGTTTTAAGTAAACCAATAACTCTACAGTTGCAAGTAAGGTGTCCGGGTATTCTTCAGGGAGCCGATTGAGGAAATAGGTACATACTTCTTTTAGTGAAAAGGTTATGTGCCTCCAATTTTAATTCAAGAAAAAAACATGTACCAAAAATTTGGAGAACACTGGAGTGTAGACAGGAAGGGGCCAGATTTATTTATTTATTTATTTATTTGTACTTATAGCCCTGCCCATCCCACAGGTGGGCTCAGGGCAGGTAACATCATCATGAAAACATCACGAAAACAGTCGATGGATAAAAGCTCTGACTGAACATAAAGCCGCTTCCTGTGTTCATATGTTTTTTATTAATTGAATGTCCTCATAATGTTCTGAAGGTGCGTAAAGGTATAATGAAAGGTAAAGGTAGAAGGTAAAGGGTTCCCTTGCTCGAAAGCCAGTCGAATCTGACTCTATGGGGCGGTGCTCATCTCTGTTTCCAAGCTGAAGAGCCAGCGCTGTCCGAAGACGGTCACGTGGTCACGTGACCGGCATGACTAAATGCTGAAGCGCACGGAACGCCATTACCTTCCCACCGAAGTGGTACCTATTTATCTACTTGCAGTTTCTTGCTTTCAAACTGCTAGGATGGTAGGTAGGAGCTGGGGCCAGAGATGGGAGCTCACTCCGTCAGGTGGTACCCCCTGGGTCTCGAACTGCCGAACTGCAGGCTTTCCGATCTGCAGCTCAGCGTCTTAACCTCTGAGCCACCGTGGCCCGGCTTGAAAGGTATTTAATGTGATTTTCTCTGTTTCTGCAGGGCCAGGGAGCTCTGTCAGAGAGGCTCCGAAGTTTCAGCATGCAAGACCTCACCACAATCAGAGGAGAGAACAGCCACACTGTGATCCCGCCTCCTCCTCCTCCTCCTGCTCAAACGGTGTCTGTACGAAAAAGCAGCAAGCAGAGCCAGCCCAAAACATCCAGAACTGCATCGGAAAGTACTGTATGTTCAGGTCAGTGAGAGGATTATGGTCAGTTTTGAGCAATTACTTTTTCTCCTTGTCCACAGATATCCAAACAGATAAGAACTGTAAATGATGCCATGATACAAAGTTTTTGCAAATTTAAAAAAAAAAAATCACATTAAAGCAGAAATAGTGAATGGGGATATTTTGCCCTATGGGATAAGTAAATGCACATAAACAAAATTTATAAAAACCTGGTGGACTTCTTTAAAAAACGCGTTCTCCTTTGACGTGCCTGTCAGTGGACTGGCCGGCCTCTGGAATGAGGGAATGACCCGGGCAGTGGGCACGTTGCTCGAGCCCAGGTACCCCCTTGGTTTCTTGCGGGGCTGTAGATGATGAAGAGGCAAAAGGGAGGAGGCTGGTGCAGCAGTGGAGGACGACTCCAGTGAGACGCGGGCAAAAGGTCATTGTGTCTGCCCAGTGGGGTGACAGACCTGTTGGGATCTGGCCTGCAGGAGGAGGCGGACTGCTCAGTGGTCCACTGTGGCACTCTGAAGATAAAAATCTCTTACATCCACTCCAACTTGGACTCTTGTGTTAGCAACCGTAGGGTCAGATGGTGCCAGGAGCTGACTTCTCCAACTGGGATAAAGGTAAAGGTAAAGGTTCACTTGCTCGAAAGCCAGTCGAATCTGACTCCAGGGTTGCGGTGCTCATCTCCGTTTCAAAGCCGAAGAGCCAGCGCTGTCTGAAGACGTTTCCGTGGTCATGTGGCCGGCATGACTAAACACCAAGGTGCACGGAACGCTGTTCCCTTCCCACTGAAGTGGTACCTATTTATCTACTTGCAATGTCTTGCTTTCGAACTGCTAGGTTGGCAGGAGCTGGAACTAGAGACGGGAGCTCCCTCCGTCATGTGGCACACTCGGGTCTCGAACTGCTGAACTATCGACCTTCCACAGCCTGCAGTTCAGCATCTTCTCAGTTTATTCACTCTGAGGATGTGGACAGGATCCTTGGAAGTCTGAGGCCTTCCACTTGCTTGTATGACCCTTGGCCCAGGAGGTCTCAGTAATGATTCACCTGTCTCAGATGTTCCATTCTTGAGCAAGGTGATTGAATGGGTGGTGGGTGGACAAGCACTCCTAGGTGGATGAAGCAAATTGTTTAGATCCTCTCCAGTCTGGTTTTAGACTTGGGTGTGTGATCAGAACAGCCTTGGTTGCCCTGGTGGACGATCTGTGCTGGGAGACGGGCAAAGCAAATGCCACTCTGCTGATTCTCCTGGACCTCTCAGCAGCTTTTGATACCATAGATCATGGCATCCTTTCTCGACCACCTCTCCGGGCTAGGATTGTGAGGCACTATTTTGCGGTGGTTCCGGCCTTACCTGGAGAGTAGGTTTCAGAGAGTGATGCTCGGGGGACTGCTGATCAGCTCCTTGGCCTTTGGGGTTCCCGCAAGGTTTTGTCTTGTCCTCCACCTACATGAAACTGCTGGATGAGATCATCTGGAGATTTGGGCTGGGTTGTCATCAGTATGCAGATGGCAGTCAGCTCTGTCTTGTGTTTCCAGCAGATCCCAGGGAGTCTGTAGAAACTGTGAAGCGGTGCCTGGAGGCTAATAAAACTGAAACTTAATCCCCCAAAGAAGAAAGTGGCTCTGTTAGGCAGAAGGTCTGACCTGGGATTTAAGGTGTCACCCATTCTGGATGGGGCTGCACTCCCCTTGAAGGCACAGGTTTGTAGTCTGGGGGTGCTCCGGGACCCAAACCTACTGCTAGACCGGCAGGTGGCAGCTGTGGCCAGCAAGAGTGCCTTTGGCCAGTTTTCTTTGACTGGCCAGCTGCCGCCTTTCCTGGGCAGACAAGATCTGGCAACTGTGGAGCATGTCCCTGGTTACAGCTAGATTAGATTACAGGAATGTGCTCTGTGTGGGGCTGCCCTTGAGAAATGTTTCAAAACTTTGGTTGGTACAGAATGCTGCAGCCAGGATTGTTACTGGAGTGGGTCCTAGGAACTCTGTCACGCCAGTCTTGGTCCATCTACACTGGCTTCCACTTTGTTTCTGGGCACAATTCAAGGTGCTGGTCTTGACCTTCACAGCCCTATGCAGTTTGAGACCAACATACCCGAGGGACTGCCTGTTCCCTTAAGAACCTGCCGGATCCCTAAGGTCATCTTTGGAGGCCCCACTTTGGATGCCCACACCTTCTGAGATCAGGCAGGTGGCAACCCAGGAGAGGGTCTTCTCGGTCTCCGGAACCCTTTCCCCAGGGAGGCTCATTCTCTGTTCCCTCCTGTTGCTGTCTTCTGCCAGCAGGTGGAGATTGTTTTTTGTTTTCATTTGGCATTCCTTAGATATCCCTCCTTCCTAATCATTGCTTTAATTACTGTATTATGTTTTGTAAATATTTAAATTCTGTTTTTTAAACTGTTGTGCTGGGGGGTGATTTTAATGGTTTTGAAATGTGGTTTTATTATGTATGTTTTAACTTGTGAGCCACCTTGACGGCCCTTCTAAGGGCAGAAAGGTGGCATACAGGTTGCATACAAATTCTGTAAACAGACAAATAAATAGTTCAGAGGCTTGGACTGTATAAAACTTGAGTTTAAAAAAACAGTTTGGTGTTGTGGTTAAGCGTGCGGACTCTAAACTGGGAGAACCAGGTTTGATTCCCCACTCCTCCACTTGCAGCTGCTGGTGTGACCTTGGGCAAGCCAGAGTTGTCCTTGAAAGAGCAGTTCTTTTTAAAAAAAATTTTTTTTAATATATATATATATATACACCACACAAACAAAAACAAACATACAGAAATACACATATGGGGAATTCTCATTACATCATTTTGATCTAGTTGATAACCTCATACAATATCCGAATATTTTCATTGCTTTTTTCCCCCTTACAGTTTTTATTTCCTTTCATTTCAGTTAGATGTCCAAAAGTTTTATGTCTTGTACTCTTCTATCCACTTATAAAATCTTGACCATTTAAACTTCAAAGTCTTTTTTGTTATGTCCTCTCAGGATTGAAGTTAAATTGTCCATCTCTGCTGTTTCCAATATTTTATGTATAGTTTCTTCTTTGTTTATATATAATATATTTATTGATTTTCAAACATAAAAAAAGAAAAAAGGAGACAAATTGTCAGGATCAACAGCATGCAAAACTCCACACACGTCCCAAGGAATCGTTATGCTTTATTAGTCTACAGGTCTGTTGCCAGCTTATACAGGTACATTGTTAGGAATAACTGTGAAGGCTGAGGCATCAATACATACACCCTGATGCTGGAATGGGCTAAGCAAATGAAATCCAAGCGCGCGCGGGGGAAATCTCCCGGCGGGATATTACGTTATGAACGGAAGACTCTTCGTGCACCATGAGAGCAGAAATATTCACACCGGCAGTGGAATGCAAGCCCTCCCTTCTCCTCAAGGTTATGCAGATAGCACAGTCTGACGAAGCCAGTTCGCACAGTCTCATGAGCGCCTCCCGATAGTTGTTTACAGCAGTTAAGCCAAGCAAGCAAGCATGCACTCATGCGCTACAGACAGGGAAGAACAAAAACAAGGAAAGCATGGCAGCTAGCTGACATTTTGCCCCCTCAAAACCAAATCAACCCTGTCCCGTAATGGCCGGGAGACGGTAATGGAATTTCCGCAAAAGGTCAGGGGCCTGAATATCATTTACTTCCACCCTTTCCTGGAGCTGGGGACCCCAATGCACCCATTCCACCAGGTAATACAATGTCATCTAAGTAGACAAGCACCCCTCTTAAACAGGTGCTTGTGCAACACTTCATTTATTAGGTTCATAAAAATCCCTGGAGCCCCCTGGAGACCAAATGGCATCACCAGGTATTCAAACTGGCCCAATGGGGTGTTGAAAGCTGTCTTGTATTCATCCCCCTCCCGTATACGCACACAGAAAAAAGCGTCTCACAAGTCAAGTTTAGAAAAGGTTTTTCCCTTAGCCACTTCAGCCAAAAGATCTTTGATCAACGGCATGGGGTAGGCATTTGTGGATGAGACGGCATTCAATCCCCGGTAGTCGGTGCAGAGCCGCAAACCCCCATCTTTCTTTTTCCAAAAAAGGACGGGGGCTGTAAACGGGGAAGACGCTGGTCAGATGAATCCTCTGGCCAGGTTTTTATCTATAAATTTCCACAACTCTACTTTCTCCCAGGGGCTCATAGCATAGAGCTTCCCTTTGGGCATTTTATGGCTCGACAATAAGTCAATCGCACAGTCTGAGTTGTGACGGTGGTGGGGAGCGCGTCGGCTTCTTCTTCGGCAAACACCCGGGAGAGGTCTCTATACTCCCATGGGATTTTAGCGAGCTCCTCCGTAACCAAGCACGCCCGCGCTTGTTCATTGTCAGGGGCTACCCCCACTTTGTGTTCCATACATGGCGCTGGCACTTAGGGGAGATGAACTTACCAATCCTGTCGCCCCACAAAATATAGGGATCTTGCCCATGGAGCCATGGGTTTCTCAACACCAAGGGAAATTTAGCCCCCGGGGACACAATAAAAGTCCGCTCTTCCCGCCCACACTCTGAGTCTATGAGGCCCCGAACTCTAATGTGCGTGCCCATAGCGGGGTTCATGATAGTCACAGTCATGAAAAAGAGTGGTGGATAGCTGCTCACCACTTTTGACGCCTCCTCTGCTGGGTCCTGCTGCTCAGCTCCACTTACAGCAGGACCTGGCCTTTTCCCGCCGGTTCCATCTCCTCCTCCCCGCTTGATTCCATTTCCATCCCCTCCACCTCTGCTTGCAGAGCGCAGGGGGTTCTGGCTTTTGCCGTCCCTTTTTTCGAAGGCATGTCGCTCCGGCGCTTGTCACCTTCCCTTCCCCCCGCTCCTGTCGCCTCCCCCGATGGACAGTTGGCTGCGAAGGGGCCTCGTTCCCCACATCTCAGGCAGAGCCCCTGTTTCATCCGTTGCTCCCGAACTGAGGATTTCGGAGGGGTGGCCTTCGCCTTGGGGTGGGAGGTTGCTGGCGACCTTCCTGCCGCTACCGCGTTATCCAGCTGCATAGTGCGCAACCGGCTCTTGCCGCTCTCCACCTCTTGCATCCAGGCCACCAAGGTTCTCGGGTCTCAGGTTCCCATAACCAAGTTCCGAATCTTGGAGTTCAGTCCCAGTCGGTACTGCTGTGTGAGCACCAGGTCAGGCCAGTCCCAGATTTTGTCCGCTTGCCGTTGGAACTCTGTCGAGTATTCCCGCACTGTCAACTTGCCTTGCTTGAAAGTGCGAAGGAATGCTTCCGCCTTCTCGCCCACGGTGCGGTCCTCGAACCGGGCTCTTAGCGCCCACATAAACACATCTACGCTCCCCAATTCCATCGCCTCCAGGTTGTGAAGGCTCACATACCAGCTGGTCGCCACTCCTCGCAAGCGGGAAGCAATAAAGTCCACTTGTTGCTTCTCGTCCGGGAACAAGTGGGCCCAACGTTCCACAAATTTCATCACCCGTACAATACCGTAAGAGAGGTTCTCCGGATCGCCATCAAAAGTAACATCCAGTAGTAAAGGAGCCGGCGTTTCCCTTTTAAGTACACGGAGCCGGCGTTTCCCCTTTAAGAGCAAAGAGCCGGCGTTTCCCTTTTAAGTGCTGGAGCTGGCATTTCCCTGCAAGCCTGATCTCAAGCGGAAATCGGGCTTGGGATGAAACGCGGGTTCCATGAAGTTAAAGGCAGCCACCCCGCTCTCTCAAGAGAGAAGGGAGAGGGGTGGCCGTGGGTGCTGGGGGCGCCCCCCCCAAAAGAAACGGGGAACCCCTGGCAAACCGGGGGTGGGGTTTGGCAACCCTAGGTCAAACCATAGCCATAGTCATTCACAATTATGGCAGAACAGCCCCTCTGACCTGCAGGTCCTATTCCACCTTGCCCTCCCAAGCATCTGGGCACCAGTGGCCCTCCAAGTCTCTACCTGGCACGTGCCCCCCAGACTACAGAGATCAGTTCCCCTGGAGGAAATGGATGCTTTGGAGGGCCTTGTGCCCCACTGAGGTCCCTGTCCTCCCCAGGCTCCATCCTTAAATCTCCACAGGAGTTTCCCAACCTGGGTCTGGCAACCCTACGGCCCACCAATACCCCGCTGGTGGCCAGAGGGGAACCTGGCAACTTTATCCACCCGGCTTTCCCAGTCTTTGGAGGGGCTTTCCGATCTCTCTTTACCTTCCTGCTCTTGTACACCACTGGGGGATAGCTGAATGGAAGTTCCCCTGCTCTCTTGGGCAAGAGAGGGAGGCTGAAGTACTGAGCCCACAACCTCCACAGATAGAGAGTATTGTGTGTAGGGA